CACACACACACACACACACACACACACACCTCCCCCGGGAGCCCCAGCACTGATTAAACCTACAACTCCTCTCTATCCAAGACAACAGGTTCCTGATGGGCCGCAGCCTGTCGGTCACTCTCACTGCTCGGAGACAAACCCACACGAGCCTCTGCAGCTTATTAGGAAGACAAACGGCAGCTTTGAGCTGATAAAGATGGATGTTGATGCAAAACTCGTGTTATAAATAAAAAAAATGCATATTTTTCCGTAAAAGCCCTGCAGTGTAACATTGGATGCATCAGGTTCAGCATTATTAGCTGATATTTGCATCGTCTCTTTTTCTTTTAGTTTCTGTATCCCAGAATTTTGCATCCCACCGAATATTAGCTCAAACTTTGTCAAATTTACCGAGTTATAACCACAAGTTTTTTTTATTACGACATGTTTTTATTTGTTATGTAGGCTAAGATATTTTGTTTTATTGCATTGTATTTTAATTGTATGGTGTCATTGAGTGCCATGAAAGGCACCTTCAAGTAAAACGTATTATTTATGTTTAGGTTAATGTGGATTGGCTATGGGGCACTGGTGTGAATTAAAATAACTTTTGGAAAAAAAAATCACTCATAGCTGTTTGATGAACAATTCCTGCAAGTTTCATTAAAATCCATCCTGTGGTTTAGGAGATATTTTGCTAACAGAGAAAATATGCCAGTTTGGGTGTTGAGGCCTGTTTCACTGAAAAAAAAGCACCAAAACTAAACCTGGTTTCGTATTTCTCACGAAATAAACTCATTGCCCCCTTTTTTTTTAACCATCTGCTCTTATCGCTCCATCAGCTTCACACATCGACTGTTTTTCAACAAACAAAAAAAAGTCAAAACAGGAAGTTGTATAACCTCCTAACCCACTAAACTCACCCGTAGGCGTTAAATGGATCCCATAGTAAACAGGTTTTTTTTTTTTTACAAGAATCATAGGAAGAACTGCAGGAGTCAAGGTTCAGTTTAAAAAAATATTTATTCAAATCATAAAAAAATAGTTTCTAACACAGTGAATGAAACAAAAAATGACAATCCAAGCTGCGGTCATGCAGCGCACGCACGCGCACGCACGCGCACACACACACACACCACACACACACACACACCATTCAGAAGACAGCACGACACCAGTTACCATCAGTAGACGTTAGATGTTTACATACATCGAGACAGAAGTGCTTTGGGACTATTTACACTTTATTTACACAAACACACACATCTTGCTCTTTAAAGAAAAACAAATCAAGCCATAAATATGGTTAAAAAAAAAATCCACTTTTGCTTTTGTCTTAAATAATCTGCGGGTCCTTCAGTGACTGTGGAATGAAATATAGACATTCATAAACAGCCAAATATTCTCTCATAAATAAATAAATAAACTCTGCAAAAAAAAACAAAAACAAAACTCATTGCCTGTGAGATCAGAGTCACAGCTTTAATAAATATCTTTCTTATTTACAATTCTTGTCGCCCGTGTTTTATTTAAGACCTGTGTGAGGCACGGTTTAAAAAACGGTGAAAAAGAAGCGTTTTTCAAAGAGCAGAGGATGTTTCGTGTGTTTCACGTTTGCATTGCTGTGTTGCGTTCAGGTTGACGTGAATGAGTAGGAGAACAGGTCGTAGAGTAGAGGTGATGCTAAAAGCAAATAGACTGAGGTAAGTCCAGTGTTTCTCTCTTGTTTTGAACGATTTGTCTGCACGAGTCGCTGCCGGAGCTATGAGGTCGTCTGTTTGCTAATGACATTAAGAGTAGTGGTGATGGTAGTGGTTGTGAGTGGCGTGGGCTTTACTGATCTAGGCCCGCGAGAGGAAAGAACGGTCAACAACAACAACAACAACAAAAAAAGTCGTGTTCGAGAGCGCGAAAAAAACAACAACAACAAATTCAAGTATTTTCAGGTTCCCCACCTAAACAGTTTCACAGAAGGCACTTTTTGTTTTTTTAACAAACACCTCGGCTCTTCAGAGCTACAGGAAGAGAGCAGGATGTCGTTACGTCACTCGGGACCGCCCGCTAACGCCAGCACGCTCGGCGCAGGCGCTCGCCCTCTCACACGGATCGAGGAACACCCGCGGACCCCGTCCGAGTCCGGCGAGGACGGTACCGTGGCGCTGTCAGCAGCTGATCAGCATCAAGCAGCTGAGTTGGAGAGGCTAAAACCAGAAAACCACAGGGTGGCGGTCCGCCGCGGCCCCCACTGGAACGTGTGGTCTCGCACACATTCTACGGTTTTCCCTCTCTATGCTTAAAAAGTCTATTACATTTTCATTTTTTCCTTTTTGCAATAGTCTCTTTGAATCAGCACAGTCCGGTTCGCTGCCATCACCGAGCCACGGCCACGGGGGTGGGCGTGAAGGCGGCGGGCTCGAGGCCGATGCTGTGCAGCCGGATCTCCGCCGTGGTCTTCTCGGCCTGCACGGCGCCCGTCTGCACGGTGGCCGGCACCACCGAGGGGGCCGTGTTCTGCATCCACGAGTGGTTGAGGATGTCGTCGAGGGACGGGCGGTCGGCGGGCCTCAGGGACAAACACCACTTAATCAGCTGCTGGCATTCTGAGGGAGAGGAGTGGGGGGGCCCATTAGTCCTCGAGAACAGAAAACAAAAAACCGTGGACGCTCAGGCGGTCGGGGCGAGCTTACCTGCTGAAACCCTCCTACGGAAAAGAACCTGAGCCTTCACGATCTCTTCGTCGTGCTCAAAGGGGATGTCCCCGCACACCATGTCGTACAGCAGGACGCCCAGGGACCACACTGTGGCGGAGCGCCCGTGATAGCGGTGATATTTGATCCACTCGGGTGGACTGTACACTCTTGTGCCTGCCGGACAACAAACAAAGAGACTCACGTTTAAAAGCTGAAAGAACACAAAAAAGATCAACTACTGATCTGTCACAGTGAAAATAAAACAAGCTACAGAGCTGCGGGGATAGATAAAAGAATAAAGCCTTTATCTGAGCTCAGGTGCCTGACTGCCTGTGCTCATGCGTGGGAGGGAGGGGGGGAGCAGACATGTGACTTTGTTTACAAACTTTGAGTTGTAAAAATACCACTTCCTTCAGGTAGGGGGCGACAAATTAAAGCTATGGAGAGGGTGACACAAGCTGTTGAGTTTCTGTTACACAAGGCCACACACATAACTATTTGGGCTAAAGGTGTGTGTGTGTGTGTGTGTGTGGGGGGGGGGTATTTTGTTTTATTTTAAGATTTTTGCTTTTTGTGATTCTCTTCTTAGTTTTGATTGTTATTGGTTTTATTTTCTTTTTGGCATTTTGTGAATACATAATGTATGTGTTATGGTACTTTTCTGAAGCAATCAATCAATAAAAATAAAGTAATAATAATAGATGCTCACCATCAAAGTCGGTGTAAACGGTGTCTTTGAGCAGGGCTCCGGAGCCGAAGTCGATGAGCTTCATCTCGCCGGTGCGGAGGTCGATGAGGATGTTTTCGTCCTTGATGTCCCGGTGCACCACGCCGCAGCCGTGGCAGTGCCGCACGGCCTCCAGCACCTGGCGGAAGAAGCTCCGCGCCAGCTCCTCGGGCAGGGCGCCCCGCTCCGTGATGAAGTCGAACAGGTCCTTGACGTTCTCGGGCCTCTCCATCACGATGATGAAGCTGTCGGGCCGCTCGAACCAGTCCAGCATCTTGATGACGCCGCGGAAGCCCGTTCCCACTTTCCTCAGCAGCACGACCTCCATAGGCACCCGGGCGCCGCTGGGCTGCAACAAAAACAGCCGCAAACACAACATTATAGCGCCGAATTCAACKTCGCAACGCACACAAACAGATTCGTGACGATTTAAAACCCGTTTTGCACGTAAATATAAACAAGGAACAAAATGTCTCTTACCAGCTCTCCCCACTCCGTGACTCTGTCCTTCGCGACATGTTTGACAGCGACCTAGCATTAGCAAAACAAAACACCGCGTTAGACACCAGCAATGATTAAACATAAAAACATATATTTACTAAAAAGGAGGGTAATTAAACAAGAGTGCTAACCGGAGCTCCGTCGGATGTCCTCGTACCGGAGTAGACGGTGCCGAAGCCGCCGCTGCCCATCACGGCGCCGACCTGATAAAGCTTCTCAAAGGGCTCCTTCTCCTTCACTGCGAACAGAAAATAGGTACACCCGGTAAACGCCTGATCAAAAATACCCTCTTCGGCTTGATATCTGAGCAAAAAAGCGTATTAAAAATATATAAGCGAGCCCGTGTGGGAGCCACGTCCTCCATAGACAACACAGCAAAACGAGAGAAGAAAAAAAAGGGCGTCTAACCTTGTTGAACCTGGAGCTGGATTTTCGCCGGCATATCTACGGCGGAGATGTGGGCCAGCTTCGACAGCAGCATTCCTTTAATCCACACACAAAAAAAGGCAAACAGTCGGTCCTTTCTCCGGTTCCGTGTGGCTTTTTTTTTATTCCGACAGCGTGACTCTGGTGGAAAAGTCCACGTTGGAGGAAGGACGAAAATGCGGCAGGAATCCTTTCATCCAGACAGAAAAAGACAATCCCGCGTCGTTGTTGTGGTTCCGGGTGAAACAGCAGCCAAACAATAAAAATAAAAAATAAAAYCGAGTTGTGAATTCTTCAACGCAAAACCACCGTTCCTTGTAATATTTGTAAACAGAGGAGTGAAATGAAGACGCGCGGAGCACAAAGGGAGAGAAACACACACCGATGCCTCGGCCAGACACCGGCTCCTGGAAACAGAAGCGGGGGGCAGGACGCTTATAAAGCCGTAGTAAGAGTGCGGTCACGTGGGCGGTGACGTCTGCGCGTCGACCCGCCTCTTTCCGCTCTCTGCACCAATAGGAGCGCGGGGACGCATTCGAAAAGCAACGTCAATCAGAGAATGAAAATAGACTGAAGCCTGGCCGGGCTAGACAGACGTGGCGGGAATCAAAACGCGCCAAAAAAAAAAAAAAAAAAAAAAGCCTTACAATAATGTATAATAATGAACTCATGTTGGAGAGAAATGCAAACTCAAAGTTCAAAGCCAAATACTCATGTAGGAGGAGCGAAAAAAGGAAGAATATTCACATAAATACTTTTGTTTACTTTCAAATCAACTTTGTCCTGTTAATTTTAATAGCCCCCTGCAGCACAAAATCAAACTTTGACCTGACATATCTTGATAATGTAAATTATTTGTTACAATCATTTAGCAACTGCATTTGTCAACATAAACGTTTCCTGTTTGTTGTTGTTTTGCAGGTTTTCCTGTTCTGTTCAAAGCTGCTCTGAGACATAAAGACAAAGTTTTGCACAAAGTCAGACACATGCACGCAGCCCCGGACAGCTTTTAACAGGCCGCCATTYACCTGATCGTTTTCACATTAAACCCAGCAGTTTGCTGGCTGGGCTTCATTGTGAGCTCCAGGTTTTTGCAGCTCTTTATTTTAACGATGCCTCTCTGGGCTGGCTGCGCATCAAAGCAGGCGCAGAGGAGGGGGGTGGGGGGCGCATTCCACTCATTCTTTCAAATTGGGTGGCCGCGTTTGCAGTCGTTCACAGGATGTGGGAAACTAGAGATAAAAAGACTTCCATTTACCCCTCCTCTCCTGATACCCCGCCACCCTCCCACAACCCCGCCTCTCTCTCTCCACCCTCCTTTTCCCGCGCATGGCATTGTCTGAATGGCATGCTCCTTCCCTCCTCTCCCAGCCCCCTCTACGCTTAACTTACCTTTTGTTTTCCTTTGAATTTTCATGGAAACGCTGCAGATCATAATGATCGGTGGCAGTTAGCGAACTGAAACCACAGCTCAAACTAGCAAACATGAAAAACAGTCAAACGTCGCAGCTCGAAAATTTACTCTAGCGCATCTATAAAAATGCAATTCTGAAAATAAGCACTCAGTGTAAACAAAATTTATACTTTGCTCAACAAATCAGAGCATAAATACAAACCGAAAGCGCACAGTTGCCTTTATTGCAATGGGCACTTCTAAAATAATAGGCGTCCATTTTTGTTTACTTCTTGCACAATCCAATTTWAAAAATTGTTGGTAGCTTCTCAGTGTGTCTGTAGGTCATTGTGGCCTGCTAGGGGAAAAAAAAAACAAAAAACTACTGAGGATTGTTCATACTTGAGTTTGAAACGCCCCGGGCAAATTCCTTCGCTACCTTCTGAAGTGTTTAAACAGAGGAGAATATTTAAATCAGCTCCTTCTAAAGGAATGTGGCCTCATTCCTATAGAAAGGGAGGCAACAAGACCACAGGTTGGTCTGTTGTCAACAAAGCAGAAGTAATTTCTTTGGCAGAAACATAACGTTATAGGTAAGTTAATCAGAATATATTTGGTCTAATTTTCATTTCAAGGATATGGCCCTTTACTTAAATTGCGTGTATTTGTGTCATTACAACTGAGGTTTTGATTGTTTTTAAGCCTCTAAATCTCAAATCGGCGGCCTTCAGCATGAGGTCCTGAGACAAAGAGGCTACTTGCTGTTTCTGAATCCAGATTACAATTTTGGATGATCTTCCTGAGTGGATTTGACTCACTTAATCCCTGTCTTTTCTTTAATAACCCCCCACTAAAATTAGGAGCCCGCTCGTGTTATTGTTCATCTGTTGTTCAAAAGATCTGCAGCAAAAATTTCACAGTAAAATGGAATATTTGGGTCATACATAGTATTTGCTGAACATTTAAATAAACTCAAAGCGGTTAAAAGGAGACACATTGTGCTTTTAAACCCTCCTTTTTCACATTTAAATCATTCAGTTGCGTCTATATAAAGTATAACTGTGATATTTTGGTCTGAATCAGTGATGCTCAATGCCACTGATTTTTTGTCCAATTACAAGTGAAACTCAGGCTGGTATCAACGATACTGATCCAATACTGATACTTTGTGCAAATACACCTAATGTATCTAATTCAAAACGTATTTCACAGCTTCATAAAGAATAAAAACATCAGAGAAATTTATTTAATAATTTAAAAAGCATATTGATGTAGCRTCCCCATTTACAATATGAGATGATGCAACAGAAAAACCAAACAGAGGACACAAAATATGTGAAAATTGTTTTTAACAATAACAAAATAACGAAAAATAATGAAAACATTAAAATAAATTATCGTTTGATTACCAACAATGACTTTATAAATTAAAACTTGAGTCTTAAAATGGCGTTACAAACATAACATGTAAATACTGAACATGTAACATCTGAATGACCGTACCACTGCTTTACCCAGGTGGAAGAAAAAGTAGTTCCCTCCAAGATAAATAGTTCAGTTATTTTCCACTGTGTTCTTGTTAATGATATACAGTACTGAAATAATGGCAGCATCAAAGCATTGATATTTCAGTATTAGATATTAGTGCATTAAGTTTAGTTGATGGTATTGATATTTCAGTATAAACCCACACATCACTAAGCTGAATTCCTCCTTATTGTAACTCCACAAGCCCTTTTCACCGCCTTTGAGGCGTGTCTCAGATCAACTCGTTTTGGGACTGTCTCTTTAAATCCAAACGAGGCGCCTCGCACCCCGTCGATAGATAAAATACGTCAACAACAGAAGACGTGTCCGTCCAGTCTTAGATGTTCTGACCCAGAGCAGGAGGGCAATGAAGACCACCAAATTGTAGTTGGTAAGTCCAGACCTTATTCAGAAGTTCTGTTGCAAATACTGTGACGTAACGGTTCAGAAAACATAACTGAGAGAAAACTGAACAGGTTGGAAAATATGACGCAACCAGAATATAAAGATATCTACACAACTTTTCTGCACTCCTAGAAACTCACAACAAAATCTACTTAATGGCTAAAAAAACAACGTGGATTTTGCGTTTGTCCCCTTTAAATGTATAAATTGCCAAGTAGGGCACAAACCGTGTCCGTGACACATAAAATGGTGCAGTTTGAAAGGAGTTTACTTCAGCGGTTTACTACATACAGTATAATGATATGCACGTCTATGTAGGTTCACAGTCCAGGAAAACGAAGCACTCGGCAAAATCCGCTGAAAACCACGAGGAAGCAAGAGTCACCTGACTGACACACATTAGGATGGTGGTAGTCTGCAAAGGTAAACAAATATGGCAGAATCTAACGAGCGTAAAATCTCGATGAAGACCTTTTGGTGAAAATATTTAAAAAGGTTTCATTCCTTTTTTCTGCTCAAGTTTAATGCAAACACAGTTTACTGAACACATTTCAGAACAATTATAAACTAACACATCAAAACTGTCAAATGGCACAAATTCTGCTTGCAAATTTTTAATTTAGAGAAATAATTTTTGACAGATATAATAAACCTATATGGTGGTTTAGTTTATTACCCTGTTATCCAGTGTTCTTTTAAAGAGATCCCCAGTTAGTTGTAACTTTAGACTTTATTTGATTAACATATTTTAACTGTAAAATAAAGACCGCAAAAATACTGTAGGCTGTTTAGTTTTGTAAATTTTTAAAAATATATTTTAACACGGACGGAGCCATTTTATTTACACGCAAAACATTTTGGGTAAATGATGATGCAGATAGGTCCTCAGTGTGAGTGAGCTATATCCACCCTGAAGGTTAATCTTGGACAATATCTGATGATCGACTCTTTTAAATGAAACCAGAGAGCGTTGACAGAGAGGAGAAGGTAGAAATGACTCAGTCTGTAACTGAAAATATGGATGGAGCTTTAGCGTTAGTCTCAACGCTATCACCTTGTATATGCATTAGCTCAGCGCTAGTGCGACAAACAAGCTAAACTGAGGTCCTCCATTTATATTTTTAGTTGCAGACTGAGTCGTTTCTACCTTCTCTCTGTCAACGCTCTCTGGTTTCATTTAAAAGAGTCGATCATCAGATATTGTCCAAGATTAACCTTCAGGGTGGATATAGC